CTCGAGACATTCGGTGCAGACCTTTGGACCTCCTCCCCTCCCCTCTCCCTCCCCACTCCTCTCCTCCCCCTCCCCTCCCCTCTTCCTCCCCACTCCTCTCCTCCCCTCCCCTTTCTTCTCCTTCCCCACTCCTCCCCTCCCCCTCCCCTCCCCCTCCCTCCCCTTTCCCCTTCTCCTTCTTTTTCTGGTACTAAGGGCACTTAACCATAGAGCCACAGCCCCAGACCTTTTTAAAAATATATTATTTTGAGCAGGATCTTTCCAAGTTGCCAGGAGCCTTGCTAAGTTGGTGAGGCTGGCTTTGAACTTGTGATCTGATCCTCCTGCCTCAGCCTCCTGAGCTGCAGGGGTCAGGGCACCCTGCCCAGCTTGGCACTTCTGAAGACGATGCTGGAAACATGTCTGGGTGTGGTGTGTCCAGCTGGAGCACAGAGAGCTGCCTCAGTGTGCTTGCCACTTAGGAAACAGCGTGGGCGTTGGGTCCCAACTTACTTCGGGGTGGAGTCACACTCACACTTCTGTAGAAACACATCCCTCTGCGTGAGCTTATTAGATTTGGGTGGCGTGCCACTGAGGAGTCTGGGGCTCATCCCACAGGAAGAAACTGTCTGAAAGGTGAGTGTTGGGAAGGAAGAAGGGCTTTATGCAGTGGACAGAGCGTGGAGAAGAGGGAGCTCTGCTCCCAAATCAGTTGCCAACTCCAGGGGCTGGAGGGGCTACAGACACAGGCAGGGACCATGAGGGAGAGGGATGGGCGCAGGACAGGAATAAAGTATGGAGGGCAGGCTGCATCCTGCTCCCAGGGACTCGCACTCCACAGCATAGCTGCGCCTGGCCTCCCAGGACTCCACTTTATACAGCACTAGTTTGCCAAGAGCAGCTCCATTTTGAGTTAAATGTCGAAGTAGAATGACTCCACCTTGTTCAAGTCAACAGCCACCGTCTGCCCAGCACCACCCTAAAGAAAAACCAGGCCCCTGCGCTCATCAAACACACCAGACCAAACACAGCAACCCCCTCGCCCAAGACCCACGGCAGGAGGTGCACCCTGAGACTGGGTAGGGTGGCATGCACCAACCCATCATCAGCCAGCCAGTCTGAATGCGCCATGACATTAACTGGAAAATCTCCAGCTCCCTGTCCCTGTCCCCCAGCTCAGCTCCATCTCCCTGGCTTTGAAAGCATCTGCCTTCAGGACCCTGGCCTAGAGTCAGTCCTGTGCTCCGACAGCTCTGCACCCTGAACAAGCTCTTCAGCCTACTCTGCACCTGCCCTCTGCTCTCACTCAGTGCCACCTCCAGAAACCCTGTGTCCACCTTATCCTTGCTCAGCCTTTCTGCAACCTAGAAATCCCGCCATGTGTAAGTGTGACTTGAGTATTACAGAGATGAGCGGTTATGGTTAGAGTAAAAGAACCCGCAACTGCCAGGCTCAGGAGCACTCAGAGAACTGCCACGGATGAAACTGGGGTAGCATGTGAATTCACTGTTACTCAGGAAGTTCTGCCTCCATGGAAAGACACAGACACTTGGTCCATGAGTGGCTGAGCTCACGCGTGACGGGCTGGGAGAGGGGAGGGACGTTCATATCTCTCCTGGAAACAAGTGCAGACCCCCCAGGGGCATCTCCTCTTCCCACTCTCATGAGCTAGTGTCTTTGGCCTTAAGGGGAGACCCACGCCATGTTATGGTCTTGGACAGACACTTCTCAGATAACCAACCTGCCTACGTGTAGATCTGAGTGGACTTTGCCCCAAGGTTAAGGCAATGGGGACAGACACAATTTGGAGTCAGGGATGCCACTTGTGGGCCCAAGTGAAGAGTCAGTGTTTTCACTGACTGAAGAGTCCCCTAGGCCACTGCCATCATCCTAACCTGCACAGCAAAGCCAGTGGGGCCTAATAAAGCACTGCCCAGCCAGTGGCCTCCAAGTCAGTGACCTCTAAGTCCACTGAGAGTGAGTGAAGCCAGGGGGTTATTCAGGCTTCCTGGTGACAGAGGGTCAGTGCCCTGTTTCAGCATCCTAGAACACCCTTGCTTTTTTGAGATAAGGTCTGGATAAGTTGCTGAAGGTGACCTCAAACTTGTGGTCCTCCTGCCTCAGCCTCCCAAGTCATTGGGATGACAGGCGTGGCCACGGTGCCCGGCTTGATCTCTTCTTATAGGGACCTGTCACACTGGATCAGAGCCCACCCTGAGGACCTCTTTTTTACCTTCATGAACTCTGTAAAGTCCCTGTCTTCAGTCACATTCTGAGGTGCTGGTATGAGGGCTGAGCATGTGCTTTTGGAAGCCACCATCCAGGCTATAACACCTCCATCCACAGCATGTACCCAACCTCCAACGTGGGGTAGGCCTGGGCCAGTCACTGTGGGTGCCCTGTGGAAAGGAGGGATGCTGGGGGCCCCAAGGGAGCCGCTGGTGCATTCCAAGATTCAGTGAATGGCATGAGCAGCTCTTATTCAGCCTCAAGGGATGTCCTCCATGGCTCTGTGCTCCTGGTCCCAGCTGGTGATATATCTGCCAATACAATTTCCTTAAAAACTGTATGGGTCTCCTGTGACTCTTCTCTAGGCCCTCTCTGTTTGTCAAAAGCCACACTGCAAACCTGTAGAGACAAGAACCCTCCTTTAGGGTTCTGCAGAGGCAGCTGGGGACAGGCAGCAGCACCTCAAGGCTTGTCATTGGTTGGAGCACTAGTGAGGCCTGTCCCTACCTCTTGGGCTCTCCTGCGAGGCACACCCTGAGCACCAGCTGTCTTTGAAGAGGTGCATGCACAAGTGGGTCCTGTTGTAAGAGTTTTGCCACCTGTGACTTCGACTGGCTGTAGTGCCTTTCCGCTCCCATGCCACCTCCGGCATCAGAGCCCCGATGGTCTCCTCCGCCCAGGGCCGAGTGGGAAGCTTCACTCTGGCACTCCCTTCAGCCTGGTGGCGGGCCAGTTCATGATGATGGATGGAGTGAGTGGCCCAGCTTGGCACCTTTGTTCTTGGTGTCCTCACCTGATGGTCCCTGCTCCAGAGCCCTCATCCCCATCTCAGCTTCAACACTGCCAACCACGTGACCAGGGCACCCTTCTTAACCCTGGGGCCTCCATTCCCCTCTGAGCAGTGGACATGGGGCACCTCCTTCCCCCCATGACTGTGAGGATTCATGATTTGGAACAGACAGAAAGCTTGGCAGGCCTGCCCCACCAGGGCACAGGGGTGCTCACCAAGGTGCACTCAGGTCTCACCAGCCTCAGCACTCATTAGGCAGCGGATGCATACGAGTGAGGGACAGAGAAGGATGAGCCCCTAGTGGAGTGGATCTGAATGCACCGCTTGGCTCCTGGCTCTGCCCCTAGAGCAGCAGGGGCTGGTGGCAGGCCAGCACACCTGCCAGAGGCACAAAGAGCCTGGTACCTGGCCCGAGAGCTCAGAGACTGATGAACTCACAGTGGGGCCTTCCCCACTGCCTCAGCAGCCTCCACGAGAAGCAGAAAGCCAACTACCAACACCGTGTCCCTGGCAGGCTGCCCAGTCAGAGAGCACGGGAGAATCCCAGTGTCATCCCAGCCTGACCCGAAAGCTAGGCCCTGTCCCCCTGCCAATCCAGCCACGAGGATAAGGTTTCAAGGAAAGGGTTTTATTGATTTACCAGCAGAGGAGTCACCCGTGGGACTCCTGTCCCAATGGCCGTGATTGTCCCTGCAAGGGAAGGGTGGAGCTTTAAAGAGAGGAAGGCTAAGGCTGGGATCCACATTTTATCAGGAGAAATGATGAATCACTGTCCATCAGGGGTCCTGAGAGAGCCTTGCCCGTTCCCAGGCCGCCGTTTCTTTATTCTCATGGTCAGTGAAGGACGGAGAGTGGCCTGGGGCGTGGAGAATGTCAGTCTTATTTCCCAGGCCGTGAGGGAGCGCTGTCGGTTTTAGAATAAGCCCTGCACTCTGGGCGCGGACGGCCGCCTGTAATCCCAGCAGCTCAGAAGGCTGAGCAGAAGCATCGCCCGTTCAGGACCAGCCTCGGCCACTTTGGGAGGCCTGAAGCAACTCAGTGAGGCCCTGGATGTGGCTCCGGGGTAAAGTGCCCCTGGGTTGAATCCCTAGTACAACAAAAAAAAAAAGGCCTGCAGTCGAGTGGACCCCCGTCACAAGTGGACACGAGCCGAGGAAGCCTCTGCACGGCCTAGGATCCGGGAACACCAGCGCTAGGCCTCGCCCAGGGCGGGGAGGCGGGAGGCGGGAGCGGTACTACCGGGGGCGAGGCGCGGCGCGGCGCTAGAGGGCGCTGCGGCGTCGGCTGGAGATGTCCCTCACGGGCCGCCGTAGGTCCCGGTATAAAGGACGCGGCGCCGGCCCACTCGTCCTCTCTGCGGCGGGCGGCTGGGCGGCCAGATGATAGTTGTGTGGCCGGGATACCTTGGCGTTCCCGACGCGGGCGCGGTGGCGCACCATGCCGAGCGCCAGCGGGGCCTCCCAGGCGCGGCCGTTTCGGGGCCAGGTATGGGACCCCTGTCTCCGCTCTAGGCGAAGGGACACCAGAGGGCCGCTGCTGTGCGCCCGCATAGGCGCCGCCAAGCTCCGAAGGCAAGGACACTGCCCAGACCCAGGTTCTCGGCGTAACCAGCCTGCAGCGAGCCAAGGCCGTCGGGGCGGGGTCCCGCGCGATCCCGCGTGGCGAGGCTTGCGCGTGGCGGCCAGTGCTGCTCGGCCCCTGCGGCGCCGCTGTGCTGGAGCTCAGCTCCTACTCCGGGGAAGCGGGAGGACGGGCCCGCAGGACGCCCTGGTGGCCCGGAGCCTTACCCTGCAGCTCTCCTTTCTGTTTGGAGACCGGGTGCGGAGCCCGTCCTGGCCTCGCCAAGACCCGTTTAACGCGCGGCCTTTTTTGACTTAGGGAGTTTGCCCGCCTGAAGCTGAGCGCCCGCAAGGAGATGCAGGACCTTGGGTAAGTTAACTTAGGTGCCCTGCAAGCATCATCTGTTAGATGTGGCCCTCCTAAGGGAGGGGACGCTGGGAGCACTGCCCCTAGAGGCGTTGCAGTGTGGCTGCTGTGTCGCACTTGCGTCAGTAGGTGGCGGAGAGAAGAGAGGCTATGTCTACGCTCAGTGTTCTCACCCGTGAACGTTTGAATGATTAATAGCCTGACACTGGACACGGCCTCTTGCAGCCTGAGTGTGAAGCTAGCCCTCCACAGCAGGAGGTAGAGCTGGCCCATCCTGCCAGGGGGTGTCCATTAGATCAGTTCTTGAAAGCCGTAAAATGTGGCGACCTTCTGAAGGTCATTGGAAATGAGTGCTGCCTACCACAAAATTTCTAGAGTGGTGGAATAACAACAGCTAACAGTCTGAGGTGCTTGGGATGGTTTTAGGGCCACCAGAGTGTTGGTACTTGGGACCACCTCTGCCATCTCCTTGATCCACTGGCTTGTACAGAGACTCCTGTGGAAACAGGTGCAGGTTGAAACCTGGCAGATGGCTTCATGGGCCAGCAATCTGTCACACACGTGAGGGAGCAGCTTTGAATCCCAGAGCCGGGCTGGGCTACCGTCTCCCCTGCTCCTGTTTTGTGCATTGGGATCTGAGGGCCCTGGGAGAGGGTGGTGTGTAGGTGCAGAAGTCTCCAGGTTCCTGCAGCTCTGAAGAGAGTCAAGTTGGGTGCGAGTGATCTTTGGCTGTGGGGGGGAGGCTAGTTATAGGAAGAATTAAGTGCAGCACTTGGTAGATAGCCAGTCCTCACTAACCATCTTGTCAGGGACAGGGAGGGCTCCTGACATTTGGTTTGGTCAACAGTGATAAGTGAAGTAGCCAGCTTTATGCAACAGTTCCCCATTACCTCTGGTCAACCACAGCTTGAATACCAAGTCCCCAGGAGTAACCGATTCTTCAAGTTTAAACTGCTTTCCACTGAGGAACAGGCTAAAGCCTAGTCACCTGCCTTAGGCATGACTTGTCCTTGCTCAGCACCTCTAGTCTGTATGCCACCTACATCTGTCAGTCATGGTAGCTTGATGGAATGTCTGAACTGTCACTGTGGCAGTGTAGTGTTGAAGTGGCCCTTAAGTTGTACTTAATGGCTCCCAAGTAGATGATAATGTGCAGAGGTGAGTCTCCCAGCCAAGTGTTCAGGGATAATCCACACAGGGTTCAGTACCAACTGCAGCCATCCCCTCAGCTGGGGGAGTGCTGTCCTCTTATGTTTTGTTGCTCAATGCAGGAAGGAAGGTGACTGAACCCACTCATGGTGTGACCACTGGCCAGGACAACCAGCCAGTTTCTGCAGCCCCTTTGAGGTAAGAGGAAGGACAGGCTGGCCCCTCCGGAGGTGTGAGAAGCTGCCCTGAAGGTGCTGTCCTGGACCTGCCAGCACCACAGGTGGGGCCATTCTGCTGTACCTACGACATCAGGGCAAAGAGCAAGTGGCTATTTCTACGCTCAGTGTTCAGAAACCAGTGAGCACTAAGAATGGTTTATAGCCTGACATTTCTTAGAACCGCATTGAGGTGGCGCTGGGTTCCTGCTTTGGAAATGACCACCTGGTTTGTTCCAAAGGGTGGCATCATAGGCCCTGGCAGTAGCCACTGCACACTGGTCTGGTTGTTGCCGAGAACCCTGAACAGGATGCTAAACTCGGTGGTTTTTGCAGTGCTGAGGATTGACACCAAGCCTTGTGTGCTAGACCAGCACTCTACCACTGAGCTACACCCCCAGCCCCTGGTTTTTGGTTTTTAGTTTCTTCACTTGTAAAGTGGGGCAGGGTATGAGGATTAGGGAATCTGACTTCTGGCACAGTGGGATGAGGAAGGGAAGGATCTTCCTGGCTTCCTTCCTTGGAAAGGACCAAGAACCACAGAGCTAGTGGGAACTGCCGTGTCCTCAATCCATGTTGAGGACCCTTGAGACATGTGGCAAGGGGCAGGACGTTGAGGCTAGAAGATCACAGTTCCAGGCTACCCTGGCAACTTAGTGAGACCCTGTCCCAAAATAATAAAGAGGGCTGGGGTGTGGCTCAGTGGTAGAGTATAAATTTCAGACAGACTCAAGACTGGATTCCCTGGCAAACCTGGTCTGACCCCCACCATTTCATTTTTCAGATCCAGAGAGGCCAAGAAGGACGTGGCCTGGCTTGGCCTGTGTGCCTGTGGAGTGCCATCGCCCATCTCCCCTTTCCAGGGGACTTGCTGGAACAAGTTAACTTCTGCTCACAGAGTGAGGTTCAAGTGTTAACACCAAGAACATAAGGACTTATGGCTATGGCTAAAGTTTCAGAATTTCACCTGGAACAATAACTGAAGTTTTAAGCCAAAAGTGTTAAAGTGCATTAAAAGATTTGCTTCATGTGCTTTGCTTGAGGAGTCTTTGTCTGAGCAGGGACCCCTTGGGGAAAGTATGGGTCCCTGCTAGACCCTTCCCTGTGACAGTTGCTGAGCACACCTGGTAATGGGGACCTGGTTCAAGGCATAGACAACAACCTCTGTCATTCTGAAGTTTTTAAATTCCTGGACTACTATGGCTGCCAGGGGTGGGAATTAAGGTTCTTCTTGTCAACATTGCCCCTGCCTAGTGCCTACTTCCCCTACCTCCTTCCTCACTGAACACCCTTCTTAAGCTGCCAACTAGTGCTAGAACCAAAGGCGACCTGGGGCTGGTGGTATTGCCTAGCAGGCAAACCCTGGGTTTGCTCCCACATGTGAAAGTGGTGAAAGTATTGCTTATAGGCCTGTGGCCATGCTCTAGGAGTGTTGAGGCAGGTTCAGCAAGAGCTGTAGAACAGACACTTTGATCCAAGGGCTGCTCCCACCACCACTGGGGAGTGGGAGTCAGCCTGGGGAACTGGCTCCCCAGTCCTCCCCTGAGTGGCACTGGTAGGAGCCTGACTCCACACAGCCAGGCATCACATAAGAGCCGTTTATTCAGAGCAGAAAGCCTCCTGGACCTCAGGCTAAGGCCCTCCTGTGCTCCTCAGCTCTGGCCTTTACTGCTGGAGCAGAGATGTTCTGTCTGGGTTTCTGGGACCCAGAGAGCCCAGAACCCTGGGGGAGGCGGGGACAGTTTTGCAGTGGGGCATCCAGGAGTCCTTCCTGCTGGGACCCCTGGAGAGCTAAGTGCTGCCAGCTCCAGGAGCTGTGGCCTAGGTGCAAGGTGCTGCGGAAGGCCAGGGGGCAGTGGTCGGGCCTCAGCATCAGGAGTACTTGGTGTTGGAGATCTTCTTCCAAAGAAGGGTCTTGAGGTGGCTGAGAACCAGCGAGTGGTGGGCCTCCACCTGACTGGCCAGCCCGCTCAGTGTGGTGCAGGTGCGTAACTGCTTGCCCAGCTCCTCCCGGAGGTCAGCTGGCGCACCAGGCAGCAGGTAGTCCCGCAGTAGCTCGCACACCTTGGCCAGGTTGGGCTGGATGAGGTCGCCCTTGCACTGCCTCATGAGCCGGTCGCAGGGGGCCCTGCAGTCACGCCCGTAGGTGCAGTCAGCACTCTGCTCGCAGTGGCGGCCCTGCAGGAAGCGGCGAACAGCGGCCTCAGGTGCCACTTGCTGCAGGTCGGCCATCTTGAAGTCGTAGGTGGCAGTGTGGCCAACGTTGGCCAGCGTGGTCTCACACATGTAGAAGGTCCCGTAGGAGCTGTGGAAGAGGTCTTCCACAAACTCCAGCAGGCCGATGGCGATCTTGGCACGCCAGGGCCACGCAGGCCCGAACCACTGCTGCAGGGCCCTCTGTAGCGCGGGGGGCAGCAGTGGGCGCAATAGGGGCGGCAGCGCAGCCGGCCAGGAGCCGCGGGGGGCACCCTCAGTGAGGTAGAGGTCCCCACAGCAGCCCAGCAGGCGCGAGGCATGCTCCTTCTCCTGCAGGGACAGCAGCAGCAGGAACTCGTTGCGCTGCAGCAGGGCCCACACGGATTTGGCCTCCGCCAGGGACACCCTGCTGTCTTTGTTGAAATCAGCCATGAGGAGGACCTGTCCCACTAGGGCTGGCAGGGATGGCAGGTCTCCCAGGTTAGCCTGGCATTGGGGACCAAAAGGAAGGGAGACCACATCACCCAGAGCTGGGGTTGGGACCACAGCCTCATGCAGGACTCATGCAGGCTGGCAGAACGCAGGCTCTGGCTGGTCCTCTGACCTGGGGATGCAGTGGCACCTGACAGGCGGGCTGCCCACATGAGTCTGTGGGAGGAGGTCCCTCAGGGCTGCCCCTTGTAGCAGTGGGCGCTGTGCTGAATGGAGTCACTTCACACCTGACCTGCTCCTGCCATACTGGACACGCTGTCCTCCACTTCCTGAGCCCTTACCATTTGCACTGGAAAGGCCCCTTCTCCAGCCTGCCTCCTGCCCAGGGATGGGGAATGGGGTCTGCCACAGGGTCCACTTAGGCCTCTCCAGGCTTTGCAGACATGGCAGGTGTGGATGCCACAGCACACGGCCAGTGGCCACCAGGAGAGCCCACTGACCTTGAGGAAGCTGAGGGTCATCTCTCGGAACTCCTTGATGGAGGTGCCCCGGGTGGGCTTGTCAAACAGCACCAGCTCCCGCCGGGGGGCCACCTCAGACCTGGCCTTGGAGTTGAGGGCCTCCTCAATGCCACACTTGATGGTCACCTCCTTGTCCTGCCAGAGTCCGCTGTACACCTGGATGAGGCCACAGCAACTTCCATGCAGAGGCCCCTCCCACTGCTGCGGGGGTGGCCCAGCCCACCCAGCCTTCCCACAGGAGCACCTGCTGGCCTGGGGCCGAGGACAGACAGGTCCTCCACTCCACCTTGTGCAGCTCACACAGGTCCCGGCAGATGGAGCCCGAGATGATGCCCTTGCGGTACTGGTCACACTGAGGAGGAAGGTGCCAGGTGTGGCCTGGGGTGCAGGGAGGGTGGTAGCCCCCACCCTCACTGACTCCCCATGGGCCCAAGGCCCAGCCATGCCCACTCCTGCAGGGGTCCACAGCAGGGAGGGACCCCATCACAACTGCCAGTCTGCCCCAGGATTCCTGTGTCCCCTCTTAAGCCAAAGTGCTGTTCTCAGAGTAGGTCCTCCACCACCTGCTCCCCTGCCCACTCTGAGCCCAGGCTCTGCTCGCCTACTGGCCTGCACGGGTCCCTGGCCACCTGGTGGGCTGGCACCCGCAGGCTGATAAGGCCTTGCACACACTGCAGTTTGAAACCTGCCAGTTCCTCCCAGAGGCAGCACAAGTCCCAGGGCACGCGCAGGCTGCTGCGGTGGGCCTTCTGCTGCGAGCAGTCACCCTCTGACCCGTCTAGTCCCCACTGTCCTGATTCCCGTGACAGGGAAACAGTGACGCTGCTGCCAGACACTGGACATCTAGATCTTCAGGCCCAGCAGCCCACTCCAAGATGCCAGACAGCCCGACGTCCTCCCTCACCTCAGACTTTGCTGCTGCTTCCTTTAACTCCTTAAAACTAGGTAACTATTTATTCATGCTGGGGAATACCACTGAGCTACACCCCATCCCGCTTTAAAAATATTTTTATACCTTTATTCATTTTTATGTGGTGCTGAGGATCGAACCCAGGGCCCCACACGTGCTAAGTGAGTGCTCTACCACCAAGCCACAACCCCAGCCCTCACCCATCCCTTTTTAATTTTCTGTTAGTTATTTTGAGACAGGCTCTTGCTAAGTTGCTGAGGCTGGTCTCAAACTTGCAATCCTCCTGCCCCAGCCTCCTCAATTGCTGGGATGACAGGTGTGACCACTTCAAACCGTTATCAACCCATTCCTGGAAGAACCGGGTGAGGCTCCCAGCATCAGAAGCAGCTGTCCATTTCCTCCTGGTCCAGGTCTCTTTCCATCCTAGGAGCCCTCCCTATGGGCTGATGCGTGAGGACCCGGCTTCACTGTCCTGCCCCAGGTGCAGCACAGAGCAAGGCTCATGCTACTCCATGGCAACCCTGTCTTGGGGGGACACGCTCAGCCCCTCTCTGCTCCAACTGATGGTCATCCTCAGAGCCACAGGCCACGATCAGCCCAGAAAACAGCACCCTGGAGCCCCACCATGATTCCCCACCCTGTCTTTCCTGCTGCCCTGGGCCCTTGCCAGGCCCTGCGGTAGCCAATGGCCCAGGGAGGCCCCACCCCCAGGCTGGACAGACCTAGCAGCCCCTCAAAGCCCAGGGCGGGTGCTGGCTGTTGCAGTGTGGGGTGAATTCCTGGATGTACATCACTGGTTGCCATGGAGCCCGGGGCTTGCCGAGCCAGGCTGGAGGGAGGGCAGGAGGGAGGGGCTGAAGGCAGCAGTCCAAGGGTGGACGAGAAGAGCTGGGCCGACCCAGAGCAGCGGGTTCAGTCCTGTGAGCCTGCCCCTGTGGCAGCATGAAGTGACAGCTCCTAACCGATGGGGAAGAGGGAAAGGGATGCCAGACGCCCCCATTCCACCACGCCGTGTGCAGGCCCTTCCCAAGGGTCTCCTGACGGCCCCCATCAGCACTAGTGCAAGTCCAGAACCCCACAGAGCTACAGACCCAGAGGCCGCTCTGCCCTCAGCACACAACAACCGGGTTAGATTAGGGTCAGGGAAGAGCCTGCTGGCCACCTAGCACCAGGTTGGGTCGGGGCTCTCGGGTCTCAGGTACCTCCCGTGTACTTCACCTGGGTTGGGGGCGTTGCACAGGTGAGCAGTGTGTTCACACTTCCTCAGGTCCCCTGGGCAAGTCCCCATACTCCCTCAGCCTCAGTTTCCCCATCTGCGTAATGGGCCAATGTTCAGTACCTGCAAGCCGAGAGCCTGGCACTTGGCCAAGGCAGAGGCAGCAGGTGGAGGGAGACAGCCTCCCTGGAAGGTGTGGCAAGGTGGCCACATTGGGACAGGCTTCAGAGAAGCAGGGCTCCGCCTTGGGGACATCTCCCCTTGCCAACCATGCACCAGAGGTGTGGAGACATGCTGGCTCATCCTGCTCACGCTCCTGTGCATGTAGTTCACCTGCAGCCCACTCCCTGCTAAGATGCCCACCCCTCAGTCCATCCTGGCTGACTGCTCTGGTCACCAGACCTACCTGTGGCAGCCTAATGACATCTCCCCACTCCCTCCTCTGGCCCCCAGCAGAGCCTGCCTCAGATAACAGCCTCCTGCCAGGTCTCCAAGTGGCCCACGCCCTGGCCAACAGTGAAGTCCCCGCCTGGCTGACACTTACGATCACCACCTGGCAGACGTGGCCGCGGCAGAGCTCGGAGTAGGACGAGTAGTGCAGGTACACCATCCAGCTGCCCGCGAAGATGCCCAGCCAGACCAGCAAGACATACTTGACCCTGAGGCCTGGCAGCCGGCCCTGCAGGGAGGCAGAGTGAGGAAGCGCCCCACCCAGGCCCTGCAGGGGCCCAAACTGGAAAGTCTGGACCCTTTCAGCCCTTTCCTGGCCTCCAGACCCATCACTCAGGCCCATACCCACCCTGCAGCTTCAGGAACCACCGATCAGCGCCCCCACCAGGTGTTCCCAGCTGCTCCCTCAACAACCCCCATGTTGGGCACACCAGGGTCTTCAGCTGGGGCCCCTTGTGGGCAGTAAACCAGTTTTTGCTGAATAAAGAGACCTCTTAGAAACTCCCTCCTGTCTTCTCTCATCTCATGACATTTTCACCTCCACAAGGTGGTCTGGTGGCTGCCCCTGCCGGGCAGGGGTTGTTCACCCACCTCAGGGCACACTGGGGAAAGTCAGGGCCAGCGGGAGAACTGGGACTAGAGGACAGGACCCCAGGACATGACCCAGCTGCACCTGGGAGGTCACAGACTCAGCACAACAGCCCACGTGTCCAGAAAGGATGATGGACAAGCAATGAGTGGCCTGTCACAAGGGACCCCTCGGCCTCAAGCAGGGAGGTCTGAGGCCTGCTGCAAGGTGAATAGTGCCCTCTTGGAAACGGTCGAGGTGGCACACTTCATGCCATGGGTATTTACCACAGATTTTAAAAAGCAGGGAGGCAGCCCCTGATCCCTCAGGGTGGGCCTGGGAACTATGATTTTGTGAAGGGCTCCAGGTCATCCTGTCACCTTCAGCCCCTTGCCTCCGTTTCCCCAACTGACAGGTCCGAACACAGGGTATGGGGGGCCCAGAGCTCCTCGTCAGGGTTCTTGGGCACTGGCTCCCACCAGGCTCAAGCAAGATTGCCAAGGGTGACAACCTGGGACAGCTGGATGTCACCTCCCTTGCCCCCAACCCCTGCCAACCTGGCAAATCATAGCCCTTGTGGGGGATGCTGGATTACCAGGCAGCTTGTCCCATGCAAGGGATCAGCCACAGAGCCTGGCCCAGGCAAGGAGGGCAGGAGGGCCAGGCTTAGAGATCAGCCACCCCTAAGGAGGCCCCTGCTGGCACAGAGCACCTCCCATGGCTACCAAGACCCTCTGGTTAGCTCCAGGCTGGCCCATGATCCAGGGCCACCAGATACTCTGAGAACAGGGCCCAGCAGGGCAGCTGGGCGCCCCTCCTTCCCTGGCATCCACACACTGAAGGACCTGCAGCAGACAGACCCTGGGGCTGCTGAGCATGCAGAGCCTCAGTAGTCAGTGAAAAGCAGCAGGGCGTGGGGCCTGCACAGAGCAGATGCCACTCAGCTGGTCCTTAACCAGGTTGGGCCTCGGCAGCTTGTTCTACCCAGGCCCTGCGTCTGTTTCCGTCAGGTCTGTCCATAACAGAAAACAGGAAAGCAGAGAAACGGTGTGTGTATGTGTGTGTGCTGCTGACGCTGGACAAGGTCGGAGGACTTCCGGCTGGGTAATCAGTCCCAGCAGGGCTGAATATAGCGGTGTCTAAATGGGCCGGGCCCTAGGGGAACAGTCAGAGGGGGATAGGCCCTGGCCAGTGCAAAACGCAAGGGCAGACCCAAGTTGGACAAACTGACAGAGTACCAACAGCCTGCCCACCAAGCCCACCCCACCCTAGCCCGACTCCACCAGGGCTCCAGGCCTTTGCCCAGAGGGTCCCTCCAGGGGCCATCCTCACCCAGCTAGTTCCTATATGGGCTCCTTCCCAGGGTCATCCTGAACCTCCTGCAAATCCCAGGTGCAGAGAAGGTCTCACTCCTCCGTGAACCCCAAGCAGCTGCTCCCCAGCCCACCCAGGCTCCTGGGGTTGGGGAGGGGCAAGCTTGAGTATGGAGGACACCCCCACCCTGCAGAACTGGGCCAGAGCTTCGCAGGGGCAGGAAGGTCCAGCTCCTTGTGGGGCCACGTGGAGAGTAGGAAGGGTCACTGCAGGGACAGTAACAGCACAATGACCCCAGCCTGGCAAGTCTAAATCATGTGCCAGCGGCTCCTCACCACCAACCCAGAGGGGTATTCCACAGGAGGGGAAACTGAGGCTCTGTGCATGTCCAACTATGGAATGGCAGGATGGGGTCAGATCAGGGTTCTCCCCTTGAGCCAGACCAACCCAGCTTTGACCAAAGCCCTCTCCTGACCCTGGGAGCCAACCCGGTCCCTCAGGATGGGGCAGTGCACACCCCACCTCCTGGCTTAGCAGACAGTCCTTAGACTGCTCAGCCCCCACCACACTCCTAAGGCAATAGGGCCAAGGGCAAAACCTGGCAAGGCCCCCCAGCCCTGACCCAGAGCTGCCCTGGAAGCGGAAGATATGTAAGGTCTGACCAGGATTCCTGACCCAGGCGCTGGGGAACTAGAGGTGGGATGGGGGCTGGTGGCCAGAAGGCGGGCCCAGATGATTTGAGATGGACAGGACCTGACCCAGATCTTCCCAAAGCAGAAGGGGAGAGGGTCCCAGCAGCGGAATGCCCAGCAGCCTGGGCCTCTCCTGAAGACAGGAGCCCGGCTCTGGAGGGAATGGTGACTTGTCCAAGGTCACAGGGGGTCAGGACCCGGGCCCTGGCCTAGAGGGAATAGGGACATCCTTTCTGGGGCGTCCCTATGTATCCAAGTCTGCTACAGAGAAAAACAAATCGTATTTTTTAAGTGGTGAAAAAAGGGAAGGACTCGCGGCCCTAGGCCTGGGGAGCACCCGCGGCGCCCCTGCCCCTCTCCCCGCGCCCCTCCTCTGCCCGTCCTCGCCAAGCCCCTCCCCCAGCCCGGTCCCCGCCG